TCGTTGCACTGCCTTACTACGGATGTTCGTCTGCATGAATCCTAAAAACTTCATGAATTTCAGGGCGAGACTTTCCTCCCCAAATTATGAGTAGGAGAAGCAGGGTGCCCACGGCTTGCTGCCCAGTTAGATGCTGGAAGCTCCGTCATCTCATCTGGGTGGCATAAAGGTAGCCCTGGTACCTTTGGCATTTTCTAGGTGTTGAGAAAGGGCCACCCGTGTCCCCCCCCCGGGAGGTCAGAGCCTTCAGGTCACGCTCAGCCGGCCGGGATTCTCTGCCCTTAAACTATTTGGAAGTGCTCTTCAAATAAGCGTGCCTGCCTGCAGAGCAAAACTGGTTCCCAGCAACTCGGGGCCAGTATCCTGTGTCTTCCCAGCCAGGGGACCTCTCTCCTGTGCTCGCTGCCTTCTCCCGTCCACAACCACGTCTCTTTGGTACGTCTGTTAAGCCACTGCAAATTTTTAACCTTTATTTGTTATTCCATCAAAAAGAGCGTGGTTGTCAACGCGGGGATACACATTCCACGTGCTGCATTAACAGTAATAGTTTTGTTCCTAGTCCCCATAATAAGCAGCAAGGTAGGTATGAATAATGATGCGGATCACTGGTAAGGGCCAAGAAATGAATCAGAAATGAAAGTGAATCGAGAGCAGGGACTCCCCCACTTCATGCTCATGTGTTCTCCTTTAACTATAGAGTCAGGTGCGGCTTGTGTATGTCCCATTCAGAAATGTGAAAACGGTCCCTGTGTCCTTTCATCCTCCTGTGTGCTGTGGCTGCAGCGTCCAGGAGTGAGGAATAAGTGCTTGATGTGTTGAGGCGAGAATAGCAGAGTCTGGATTATACCTTCTACTCCTTTATATCTTAGCCCTCTTGCTTTCCCACAGCTTCATTTCAAGAGAACAGTAGTAATTCCTTTAATTTGCTGTTGCAGCAGACCTCTGACCCCTGGTAGTGTTGCTTGCACACCGTCCCTGCTCAGCTATGCATTAGAGGCATAACTTTACAGTAAATTTAGTTTTGTTGCCTCATTAGGCATCAGACACACAGCGCTGTAGTAAGGACTATGTGCTCTGTAGTGATTCAGCTGCCAGAAAGAGAGACGTCTAATGTCGACCCTTGTGTGCAAAGGCCTGAACTTAAATTCCTGCCCTGGAGAGCGTATCAACAAATCCTGCTCAAGTTCAGAAGTAACTGCTGACGCAGTAGGCTCTGATAATTTATGAATTCACTATAAATCAGGGAGAGATAAGTGGACCGAGTTCCTTGAGAGATCACATTGAAATCACATTGAGATTGAGTTATTCTAGAGAGTAAATTAAGCAGCATTTAGGCTGGCAGTGGAAATTCATTCATTAATTAACACTGCTTAAAGGAATGAAATCCTGCCCGTATTTTTTTTAAAATACTCCTAATCCAGATTGGTTTCATGGCCTTCCTGGTTCTGGGCTTTGATGATCAGAGGCCATCCTCAGCTGTAGCTCTGGACTCCTAGGTGTGAAGTGGGGCTCTTCACCTCCAGGACGGGTTTGGTCCCCGGACCAGGGCTTGGCCATAGCGAGGGGTGAAAATGTTGGTAGTTTGTGCTCTGCTTTGCCTCTTTCATTCATGTTGAGTACCCCTTGATGGGTAACTCTGGGATTATTGACAGTGTTTGTTGAGTTCCCATCTGCAGACGGGGATGGTATTTGTCTTATGGATGTATATCTTTAATGCCAAATGGTTTTAATGGCACAGGATGAAGCCCAAGGCACAGTTACAAGATTTGTAGGCAGACTCCAATTCAAATTTCACCATCAAACTACAGGAACCATGGAGTGAGGGATGGTTTAGTGGGACTGCACAGAGTAGAAGTGAGCTCAGAATTTATCTTCCTGGTGTCAGATGCCCATTCGTGTACATACTGGGCCAGTTCTGCTCTCATTTACACCAGAGCAAGTTCTGGTGTGAGAACTGAATTTGTGCCCTTGGGTTTCAAGCATTAAAAAAAAAAATAAATGTTTTGAAAGTTACATTCTGGCTTTTCCCCTTTGCCACCATAATCTCCATGCAAAAATAATTATTCAAAATAATTATTCAAAGCATCAGTACAGAATCTAAGATACCACAGAGAATCAGCAACGGTCCTGCTGTCTATTGCCATGCAGAGTTAGAGTGCAGTACGTAAGGGGAGAACATAGATAGCTGCAAAATTTGAGCATAAGATTGAGCATGGCTCCTTCATGTTGCAGAATTGCTCACAGATAAATCATCATTTTGGGTTTTTTTCTAGCCAAGGTGTTTTTGTGCCTCTAAAAACTGTTTCTTTCAGTATATGTTAACAAGAGAATGGTTTTTCTCCTGAAAACACTACGAACTGGTAGAGCAGATGTCAATTTATGTCAACATCAGCTGATTTTCTTCTCCATTACCCTTTCTGCTGGATCTTTGCTTATCTAGCAGGTCCTGTCTTCTTGACATCAATTGTCATGTTGAATGTTTTCTCACATTTGGTGATAGAAAGCTTGACTCAGTCTTTCTCAAAAATTGGTGTCGTCATCCACATGATGGTCATTATGCATTATTGATAGTGATGGAGAAGTCACAAATACACACATCTTTGCTGCAGGGCCTCAGCCTTTTTCTTTGGTTTATCGTTGCTTTATCTTGTCTCTGCATTTTAGTAATAGTGTCAACAGAGACATTTCGTGCTGCCTTCACCATGAAAAGAGTAGCAGTACCCTGCTCCTGCTGCTGCAGCCATAATCCTTTGTCCTGATGGAGTTTGAATGGAGTTATGCGTTTTTTTACTTTATCACAGAACTCTAGAAGACATTTCATTTATCAAAAAGCCATTTTCTGGGGGAATCCTAGCTCCCACTGATGCAGAATTAAGAATAAACTCTTGTACGGCAAGTACTTTAAAGTTAATAAATAATTCATATATTTTTCCCCACTTTTACAATGTAACTCATAAAACTGGGAAAATAGCATTAAAAGAAAATCCCACTACAGCATTGTGTAGTCAGAGAATAACTTTCTAATATGTCTGGAAATTAATACATAAAAATATGAATTAGATGTTAACATTATAAACGCAAATAGTAATATACAGAAACCATGGAAGATATAGTAATGTTTAAATAGGTTCCTAGTTTGCCCTCTTATCAGTTCTGTGAGACATGTTTCTGTGGAAGGTGCCAGCCAAGCCTGGTCCAGAAGTTTTTTCCAACTCAATTTAAACTCGCCACTTCCTGTAGCAATCACAAAGAGCCTTTCTTTGGAGGGATCCTAGACTGCTTAACAAATCAGCCTGGAGCCTCTGCCCAGAGTTCATGTCTTCTGCCATAAAATGAAAATACTTCTGGAGTGAAACAGGATAATTGCTTAATGGCAAATACTTTTATGAAATATGCAGAGCAGAGGATTGATGTAGAGAGGGCTTTATGGAACATGAGTGCATTTGTCTTCAGCTTTCTGGCTCACCCCTAGGAAAACTCTCCAAATCCATTCTACTGCTCTACATACTATCAAAATCCACCCTCAATACTTCAATGGCTCGGTACTGAAGGAAGTACAGAAGGAAGGAAAAAAACCCAAAACAACAACAAACCCAAAAAGCATTGCATTGGTAGAATGAGCTGAATGCAGCTCGCAGCAAGGCACAGCATTTTTTTGGTGTGATCAGTAAAAACAAAAGAAATCCATTCAGTTTACTGTGTGTGTCGTGTTGGAACCCTCACAAACCGGACATGACTGCAGACTTGGTGGTATCCTTTGATGCTTTCATGACCAAGGCCATCCCACAAAACAGGTTCTTGAGGACATTCTGCCACTTTTATAACTCACCAGGTCTCCCTTGGCATAGATGAGGGGAGGAAGCCTCTGGAGAGTTTCTAAGGAGAGCCTTGACTTTGTAACGCCCTCTATCCATTGAAAACAGCCCAGAATTAGGACTGTAATGGCACGCTGCACAGCTCATCCCTCTTCCTCTGGCATTTCAAGAGAAGAGGTAATTATGAAGATGGTTTATAGATGGAAAGGGAGGATTGTTTCATTCTTTACCTTGCCTGCTTTTGCTGCAGTTTAGTCATAATAACGAGAGTTTTTGATAAGTGAGCTTCGGATTGAGTCACTGGTATCTCGAGTGAGTAAATAGATTTTGGTATTAGTCTGAGGAGCTGAGCAGAGCAATCATGCGCTGCTCTTGGAATCTGGCAGGCAGAAAGGGGAGGCAAACACCTCTGGAGAGGATCCTTGGCTCTTATTCTTGCCAAGGACTCGGGGGAATCACCTTGAAATGCCCTGGGTCGGATGAGGTGTCTGAGCAGCCTCCATGCTCGCTGGAGCCCATGGGAGATGCACCCCATAGGTTTGAGGGTCAATATGTCTCATGGTGGGGCCTGGGGACACCAAAAAACAGTGACTGATGGGAATGTGTTCTCAAGCAGTATTCATGGCACAATGTGTTGGAGGGGGTAACCCACCGAGCCGTGCGTTATCTCCTAGACCCTGCTGGGTCTCATTATAGTCTTTTGCTCGTTACACGCAGAGACACAACGGTAAAAGACTTTGAAACGAGGTTGTTGGTGCATATCATCACAATTCACATTTTGAATTCAGGAATAGGAAAATATTATCTTCGAGACACAAAGTAATTGTTGACATGGTTGGGGTTTTTTTTGTTTTTACTTCAGTTAGAAAAATCCTGGGAAACACGAGTACAGAATAATGAAATGATGCACTTTTTCCTGTAATGATGGAGCCAATAAAAGGCAGCCGTTGAGAATAATGTCCCAACAGCCAAAGCACTTCATCAGTCTCAGCTGCTGCCTCTGTGAACGTATTATATAATAATGGGTGTTCTTCTCCAAAAAAATATACAGGTCTCTCTCTCTCCTTCCCCTAAATATCACCAGGGGAAGCCATTAATTCTACTCTAGTGTAAATCTATTCTATCCATTAATGGATATCATATATCCATTGAACCTTCCACCCTCACACGGCAGGAAATAACAATAGTTCATTGTTAAAACGGCTAAATGATGGTTTTGGTTTTTTTTTAAGTAACTGATTATATATTTGTCTGACTTTTCCTTCAGGAGGCCAGACTCCATGTGCTGATTCTCTTTTATCTAAGCAGCCCAGAACCCTTTTTCCTTGCCATTGAAGACATAACTGGCTTCTCACTTTCCAGAGCTCAGCCCTTGCTAGACTTAATCCTTTATTCCCAGCTGCAAACATGAGCCATCACTGCACGCATTTGGGGAGCAAGTCAGGGAACATGCACTCATTCAATTAGTACCTCATGAGTTGGAAAGCAAATGAAAGCTGCAGACAGGCCCTGGCACAGCAGGGCACAGATTGAGGAAACCGAGTACTGGGTTTCTGGCAGCAGTAAAAACAGCATATTCAGTGATAAAAATCTGACTGGCGTAGCATGGGGGAAAAATCCATAATATTCTTAATAAAATGAATAATACATTCCATACCTCCTTGGGCTATTATTTCAGCTTTTTCTGCAGATTATGCATTTATTTACACTCAAGTCATACTTGCAAAGCTATCTTTACTCAGAAGCATATGTACATTCAGTATAAAAGTTGAAATTGTGGAGCATAACTATGCAACAAGGAGTAAATTCACACATAAATCGCATCATGATGGACAGGGTCTTGGGCTAGTTTAAGGAACCTTATGTAGGTGTTAGGAACTTTGTGGGATGAGGTGCTGGAATGGAAGTTTTTGAAGGAAGGCCTAAAAAAGACTTCCTAGCTGTCAGCACATCTTGGAAATGAGAAACAAATATTTAAAAAATTTTAAAAGTTGTAATTCCTGCATAGCCAGTCAATGGGCCATTTGGTGCATGGAAATTCCAGCAACAGGCTGAATCCTGGACTTACTGTAAATGAACCGACAACCAAGTCTGCCAGGAAACAAGACCTTCCTGTCATCTGCCTGCATTTTTAGAAAGAATATGAAGCCACTACACAATTCATAATATTTAATTTTGCTGAGTTGTTATTAGTTCGAATTTTTTTGTGTGATTCCACTCGGCCCCTTCTAATCTGCATGTCTATTAATAATATTAAATTCTTATTCAAAATCCCATATAACATCCTTGGAGGATTAAGTATGACCTGAAACCCAGAGTCTTTATAAGCTCTTCTATGTCTTTCCACTGCTTTTACCTTATAATTTCCAACTTAAAAGGCTATTGTTATGACTGCAGGACTGCCAAGTTGTAATGCATGATTTATTACGTACAGCAGGTGACTGGTAGTTAACATTTATCTCAAAATGAACGTTATTGTTTGTTGGATTTTTTCTTTTCCTGCAGCTTTCCCTGGGAGGTTCGTGTCTTTGTCAGTGACAAGATGACAATTCATATTTTTACCAAAGGATCCAGTGAGTCATCCAACTAACTCCGCTGAAATACATGCTTTCCAATCGTCCTGCCACGGTAAGTCTGTGGGATTTAGCATTCTCTCTGGAAATGTTATTTGGGAGTTAGTCCATAGGATGATTCGGTAATACAAATAATGTTTACCTAAAGTAGTAACTTCTCAGTGATGATCGCAGGCCAAAATTGACCCAATATTGCATATCATACCTATTTTTTTTTTAAAGTTAGTAAAGTATTTTACAGCAAATTAGGAGACTGGCTGTGCCTCACACCGTGCTATTTACAAGGGCTTGGTTTGTTTGAACCTGGGGGCCACATAAGAGGGAAGTGATACAAAGCCATAATATATCTGGCCGTGCAAATGTTGCCCTGTGAGGGGATCCACATGCAGCTAAGAACAAGCGTACCATGAGTCATGATGGAAAAATTCAACATCCAAAAAACCCCAAATCTCCAGGATGACATAACATGGATTATGTATTCGTACTGGTTGCCCAAATTAAAATCCTTAGTTATTTTGTCCCTCCTGAGAACTCCCAGCTCATCCAGCCAATATCCTGGAACGTTTCAGTCGAGTTGTAGGGTACTCAGTTCCTTTTCCCAGCTTTGTGCTGTAGGGGAGTACAGCTGCCCTTGGGTTGTACCGCTCTGCAGATCATTTTCATTTGGGAGAAGGGGCTGTGCAGGCTGGTACATGACTCCGTTGCTTTTCCCTGTTCCTTGGGTTGAGTTGGAGAAAAGGTAGGACACTTTTTTCTTGATAAAGTCTCTCTTCCTTTTCTGCTTACTTGTTCTGCTCTTGAAGGTGATATTCTGTGGCACAGTCCAAGCAAACTGCTTTCTGCTTAAATGTATTTTGCACCGTTATCTCACAGGAGAAGAGCATATGGCCTCGAGTTATTATTTGTTATTTCAGGGTAACTAGATGGTAACTGTACTGAAAAGTTATGGCAACTCATGCGTTATCTCATGATAGCAGGATAAATAAACAGTATCTTCACTGCATGCATTAACATTAATGGAAGGAAAAACTCGTGAAAAACATTGTCAAACCAGTTTAAATATGTCCCCATTTAGGTTGCCCCAGATGCTTTACTGCTTCTACTTGTCTCATACACATTTAAATTATCACTGGGCCTCCTTCCACATTTGACATTCTTGCCTTCAGAGCTCATGCCAGCTGCAGTCCTTAATTCAGTAAGCATGCAAAAAACTTTAAAATGTCCAACAGAACAGGGAAATGCATCTTTGAATTAAAATAAAGCTTTAGCTTTAATAAATAAAGCTACTCAAGGGAGGTCATCCTGCCTCTCTGCTCTGCCCTGGCAAGGCCCTAGCTGGAGTACTGTGTCCAGTTCTGGGCTCTCCAGTTCAAGAAGGACGAGGAACTGCTGGAAAGGATACAGCAAAGGGCCACAAAGATGGTTAAGGGCCTGGAGCACCTCTCCTACGAGGAGAGGCTGAGGGACTTGGGTCTTTTTAGTCTTGAGAAGAGAAGGCTTAGGGGAGATCTAATTAACGCATACAAATACTTAAAGGGAGGGTGTCAGGGAGACGGGGCTGGTCTTTTCTCAGTGGTGCCCAGTGACAGGACAAGAGGAAAAGAGCACAAACTTGAGTATAAGAAGTTCCACCTAAACGTGAGGAGAAACTTCTTTACTGTGAGACTGGTAGAGCACTGGAACAGGCTGCCCAGGGAGGTGGTGGAGTCTCCTTCTCTGGAGACATTCAAAACCCACCTGGACAAGTTCCTGTGCAACCTGCTGTAGGTAGACCCACTCCAGCCGGCGGGTTGGACTAGATGATCTCCAGAGGTCCCTTCCAACCCCATATGAGTCTATGATTCTATAATTCTATAATAATTTTATAAAATTAAAATAAAGCTTTAGCAAGGTATCATGGAAATCCTTAGTGATGCATATAATATGTGTGCAGCAAAGCCAATACAGAGATCTAAGGGCATCTCTGGGGTAACCCCCAAACTACAGCAGCCAAGACAAGGCATTTTGTTTGATCTGTAGAAGGTCCCTTCGCAGCCGATTTCAAATGCAAACAAAATAAAGACAATTGGAACACTAAAATATTCCATGTAATTGTTGTAAAACAGACAAATCGGGGAGCAGATAAAAGCAAAGGGAAGAGAATGGAGCTAATGCAGCTGCACAAAAACTACTTCAGATGTGTTCTGCTGGAGAATGCCAGCACATCTCAAACCCTTTGAAAATACACTGAAGCGACATTACGGAGTATAAAAAGAGAATCTTAAACAGTTTATCAGTAAAATATGGACTAAATTTGATGAGACTGTCCTCTAGGCTGTAAGTATCTGTTTCTATGAAAGTTGTGTGGAACATGAGAGCTGTCATTAACGTGGCAGATTTTCTTCATTCAGATGTAAAGCCAGATCTCCTTTTATTTTGTTGATGGAGCTGGCGTATGGCAGAGCGCTAAGAGGCGGTTAACTAAGTCTTTTAGCATCATTGGAAAACCAAACTCCTCGTGGTTTGGTCAAAATCCTCATGAAAAAAGTTAGAACCTCAAATTTCTGTATAACTATGTTTAATGGTCCCACAGTAACTAAACACTTTTCCACATTGCAACCCCTTCATCAAGCTGAAAGTGACCACTCAAGGACAAGTTGTAACTTGAATTAGAGAAATATTTTTCTAACCTTATAATAAGGATAATATATCCCAAAACTTGACTAGGTCTGATCCATCATATTCTGTGCTTCTCTAGCCAGTGCATGTAAAAGAAAACACCCTGAAAACTACTTTTCCTCATTGCTTTATCTGCCAGAGATCTTCAGTCAGGCAAGATTCAGGGTCCATTGCAGTTTCTAGTTACATTTTAAATCCCATAAACAAAAAAACTAAGAAAAATCACTAGGAGACAGTCTCAATAAGTTACAAATACTGATGGAGTGAGGAAAAAACCCAACCCTGTTTTCAACAAACAATTTCGAAACCTATTTGTGCCTTTCACTGCCGCAGTGCTAGAGTTTATGCAGCCTTCCATTTGCCCACATACAGACTCTAACATAGGAAAACACTGAATGAAACACATGAAATGCTTTTGGGTATTCACATGGAAGAAGTTACAGGAGCTGAATTCTTTGACAGTGCAGCAGGGCAGAGCTGGGGAAGGCTGGGACTGGGGGTGCTGGCGAGTAAGAGTTCCCAAAGTTTGTGTCACTGGTGTGGTTACCCTAAATGGCATCAATCTGGTGCTGGCAAAGGGGCAGTGGGATATACCTGCCTCCAGGGATCATTCTCCATTGCAAACATCACCAGTTTCCAAAGAATAAAGTGATTTTCCAGCCTCTCTTCCCATAAACTGACCCACCCCCAGCATTCACTTGTGTTTGGCTTCGTCTGGCTGCTGCAGTCACAAGCAGTGAGTTGCCTTCCCTTCACCCCTTGATCTCTTGTTTGACTAATTATAGACTCAATACTGCTGCTGATTTATTGCAACTGAGGCTTACTTGCATTAATAATGACTCCTGACGTTAGCCTGAGCACCTCAGTAAATAAATTTGGTACTGCTTTAAGAAATAAGGTTCCTAATGACTATAAAATTGCCTGGAAATTGTTCTTGTTGTCAGATAAGATTAAGGAAAAGAGCAAGAGAAAGTCCTTCTAGGAAAGTGCAGGGTTATGTACTGGGTTGCAAACTGCAAGCAAATTAGTAAATAATACTAATAATAATTTTTAAAGTTTATTTAGGTCTATCTGTAAATTAATTACATTCTTGACAACTCAATTCCTGTTTTTCCTAGGATATTTTCCTTACTTGTCAAAGGTGAAGGCATTATTTCAGCCCATAATTCTTAGTATTTATCATAAGACATTTCTCAGACGTTAATGTTAAGGCTCTGAACTCACAAAGCATATCTGCATTCTCCATTAATCACCTTAGAGAAATGATATTTTGAGGTATGACTCTCCAACACAAAAGAGATATTTAATGACATTACCTATTCCTGTCGTTTTTAAATCTTAGTATGTTGCAATAAAATCTAACATAACTAAAAATGTGTAGCAATAAAGAAAGTATTTCTAAGCTTATTTAGGGTTACTTCCATCTTCTGACTTTCAAAAAGTGTTTGAAGAGGGTCCCTCTGCTAAAAAAGGGGGTTGAATTTCAACGTTCCCTTCTCTAAGCCCTTTCCTCACATCACAGCATTAACCTTGAAAAGGTCTCTCAAAGTTTTGTGATATTAGACCCATCACATAACAAAAGCTACTGCTTGTACAACAATTCTGACAAACGATAAATTTGCTAATAGATTGTTAGAGCTGGTCCACCATAATCTGACGTATCAGTAACACAAACACAGCAGCAAAAGGTTTATACAAAAACCTCTCCTCCTGACCTTCTCACTGCACCCAGTGTTGTGCTACTTCCAAAAGTCACAGTGCCTTTCTGTAACAGCTATTTTTTGATGATAAAAATGGTCCTGGGATGTCATAAAAGCTATGAAGGATGGATAGAAGTTTTTCATAATAATGATTTGTGGTAATAAAGCAGTTAGCATGGAATCAAAACAATAAATAGCTAGTGGTAGTCATAGGCATGTAAAATAGCCAGTTCCATGGATGGCAATTTCTCTCCCTTTCGTTTTTTCTAAATGCCTGCAGAAATGTGTGTATTTCTGAGTACGTATGTAATGTTATGTATATGGACATAAGCATAATATGCAACATAAATAATACCAGAAACTATGTGGTTGTGTCAGAACTGTAGGACTGAATCCAAGACCTTCATGCCATCAATTCAGCACCAATTAAACTCCCAACTCTGGGCCTGATTTACCCAACTTTTAAAGCTTGCATTTAACTTCAAACATATGCTTAGTTCCATTCTTTCTAATGAGACCAGAAAGGTGCTTGAAATCACATATGCTCTTGATTCGCTTACTTTGGAGCTGCAACTATAGTAGAAGGGTGTGAAAAAATAGCTCTGTGATATTCCCAAGGCATTTGTCAGTTCACAAGTTACTTGAAATTACTAAAATACAGAACATGGAATCTGAAGGCGAGGGAAGGAAAATAGATGACAACGTACATATGTAGTCACTACTGATTAAGGAACAGCAGCGTAGACTTTTCGGTAGTGTTATTACTCACTATGATTTTACTTTATTTTTATTCTTGAGCTTTAGCTGAAAAAAATATGGTTTAGCCATCTGTCTGCAAAAACATGTCTCACTGCTGCAGTGCTACGTTTGCAGTGTTCCCAGATACCCAAAAGTCACTTTTTTACATGAGTGGTGACTCGCTGAGCCACCTCAGATCATACCTGAACATCACTGGAGCTTTGCATCTCCGGTCACTTTTCTTCAATCCTTCCAAACTCCAGCTTTGCATCAGCCCGGCCGGGAGACAAAGCTTTCTCTGGGCAGTGGTTCCCATTCTTCTGAGAAACAGCCATCTGCCTGCATGGGATTTCTGAGTTTTTCCATGGAAAATACGTTACGACATTCAGTGTCACGTTATAGTTCCCATCCTGTTTGTATACGGTATTAAGGAATACAGTCATCTCTATTTTTATATTCTTTTTAGGTGCTCGGGTAGTGTTTCAACAGCAATGAACTAAATTCCCTTGCTACGTAACAAATAATTTATTGCAATTAGTTTCAAATTATTTTCAGTTTCCCTGAACACTCTCTGCACTAAAGCTCCCACAAACCCAAGAGAAATATTCTTAAAACAAGCCTTAGTTAATACATTCAACAAAAAAGGAGAAAGCAAAATTATAATGTTTGTGCCAAAAAAAAAAAGAGAAGGAATTCCTTTCAGTAATCAAAATGGTTTTCTGTACCTCCATCTATAAACTGTGTAAACAGCAGCCTACCATGGGCTGAGGATATCCCTGTCTGACTCAGGAGAGTAAAGAAATGCCCAAAATAACTGTATTGACATAGGACATCAATGTCATTACACCTTAGAGACCTAAGGCTCAGTGACGTTTGATTTTCTGTTGTTCCTTAAGTTGTCTACTTAATGTAATCACGCCTCATTATATAGTTCTATGATTGCATTCAATTATATTCACCATATACATAAATAAAATTTAAAGAATTAAGGAGTCACATTCCCATTGCAAAAAAATTAATTAAAGTTTGCATATGATCAATTAGAAAAATTTTGAAGCAAACTTTGCGGGGTTTGCAACTTTTTCTTTCTGATGGTAAAATGTAAATAAATTATCCGTGCTAAGGTCTATCTGCTTGCTAGCTATGATGATTGGAAGACAAGACATAATTTTAAACTGAGGAATTCCAGAGCCTGAGCTTTATCCCCTCTATTCTCTAAACACTTCTTTACAGGCTTTCTTGTGAGGTTTTAGGGTACCAGTGCAGACTGGAAGGGGTTTTCTTATCGGTTCTGCCAACCATTAATGTGGGAACAGGGTTAATGGGTTAGAAGGAAAATAGTTTGCGTCAGAAACATAGTGGAAACAGCTTAGTGGTTATCAGACATCCAGTTCTTAAATGGTAACAAGTGGTATTAAAGGATGCGTGCGTATAGATGATCCATAGAGACTAAAGTACAGCCAAGGCATATGGCAAGATAAACAATGAGAATGTGGCATCAACCCTGCTTTTTAAACAGACTTCCTGGTCTTTCAGCAGTTTCAACAATGCCAGTCACTGAAGATAGAGGGAGATTTCTAGGCGAGATGGAAAGAACAAATTTGCTCATTTTGCTCATTTTAGCTCTTCACAGTGAAATTTGTTTGGATTTTCATTATAACCACCAAGTATTAACTTTGAGCATTTTTAAATGAAGTCTATATGGTTTACTGCATTTACTTTGAGTCATGGATTATACAATAACACAATGGTTTCTCAGCAGGATTAAAACCTGAGTACATTAAAATTCAATTAAAAGCCTGTGACAAGTGCAGTGGTTGACTCACACCGTTAACGGGGATTGTGTCTCTGTAAAATGAACTGCTTTGTCACTGCATCGAGGAAGGAAGGAAGATATATGTTTGCTATAACCAAGTGAAATGTCAGGCTCTCTTGTACTGGAGCAAGTTCTAACATTTGTCTCTTAATTTCTGTTTCTCTCTAGTTAGCCAATCGACATCACGATGACTGAGGACTTAGACCACAGATTCAGTAGTCTCACCTGGGATCAGATTAAAATCCTGGATCAAGTTTTAGCTGAGGTCATACCTATTCATGGGAGAGGCAATTTTCCAACCCTGGATGTAAAGCCAAAGGATATCATTCATGTGGTAAAGGAACAGCTCATTGAAAAGCAAATCAACATCAGGGATATCCGCCTGAATGGTTCGACAGCCAGTCACATCCTAGTAAAGCAGAACGGAACCAGTTACAAGGACCTAGACATCATTTTTGGGGTGGAACTTCCAAGTGAGCTTGAGTTCCAGGTTGTTAAGGAAGCAGTTCTTAACTGCCTATTGGACTTCTTGCCAAAATGTGTTAATAAGGAAAAAATCACCGCTCAGACCATGAAAGATGCCTACGTGCAGAAGATGGTCAAAGTCTCCACCGACCACGACCGCTGGAGTCTCATCTCGCTGTCAAACAACAGCGGCAAGAACGTGGAATTAAAGTTTGTCAACTCGCTCAGACGGCAGTTTGAGTTCAGCGTGGACTCCTTCCAGATCATACTGGACTCCATACTGAATGTTTACAGAGCAACAGACTGCAAACTGACAGAAGACTCTCACCCCACTGTCATCGCCGAGAGCATGTATGGAGACTTCAACGAAGCAATGGACCACTTGAAGTACAAACTGATTTCCACACGGAACCCGGAGGAGATCAGAGGAGGTGGCCTCCTGAAGTACAGCAATCTCCTGGTTCGTGACTTTAAGCCGGCAGATGAGGCTGAAATTAAATCTCTGGAACGCTACATGTGCTCCAGGTTCTTCATTGATTTTCCAGATGTTGCTGAGCAGCAAAGGAAAATTGAGTCATATCTGCGCAACCACTTCATTGGGGAAGAGAAGAGCAAGTATGACTACTTGATGACTCTGCGTGGAGTGGTAAACGAGAGCACAGTCTGTCTCATGGGACACGAACGAAGACAAACTCTGAATATGATCACAATCTTGGCTTTGAAAGTGCTCGGAGAACAAAATATCATCCCAAACGCAGCTAATGTAACATGCTATTATCAGCCTGCTCCATATATCAGTGACAGAAACTTCAGCAATTACTACATTGCTCACGGACAACCGCCTATCATCTACCAGCCATACCCATTTCACATACAGATGCAAAGCGGCATGGTTTAGGAACACGATAACCTCCTCAGCACTTAGGCTCGTCTCTCTTTCCAGTTCTCGCCGTAATAAAGGCCTCATTAAAGCAACTTTTATCATCACTTTTGATTTAAGGACATATTTTTGTGCAAGTTGCCAAAGTTATTTATTTGGTCAATGTCTAAATCACCATTAAGCAGATCGTAAAATAAGTGAAACGTCTATCATTCATGAAGTATTTATACCCTTATGTGTGTTTGGGCTATATTTTTTTTTTTTCAATGTAAAGAGAAGGATATAAATTATTCTAATTTTATAAAATGAGATGCACTAAGTTCTGGATTCTAAAAGATTCTTAAGCAAAATTAAAATAGTTTAAAAGAAAAATTAAGCCAAGAAAATACCTCTCAGTAGAAATGCCTGATTTTAGAAGAGTTTGTGTTCTGGGTACGTTGAAGTAGACCATCTTATCAGTTATATCCGTGCAGTTCCAGCAACATTTATTTGCAGCACCTTTTGAAAATACACACTGATGGGCTGTCTCTTGGTGGTTTGAGCTCTGCTTTACAGGCTCTGGTTGGATCCCATCAGAGATGTGAGGTCCCTCTCCTCTCCAGAGGACTGTTTAATAACAGTTAGCAGGAAACATCCCTAGCGAGAGCAGGCTCAGCATTTTTGCGTATCCAAAATTTCCACTGATCCAAGTGAGAGATTCAGCTGCTTAAGTAATGCAGCGTTGGACCCCAGGATCTGCCTCACAGATAATGAAAGTTGTAAGAGATGCAACTATTTTGGTTAAATTGGTCTTGAAAAACAAGGTAATAGCATGAGAAAGAAGGTGAAAATTGAGCACATAGGGTTTGCTTTCTATTGCTAATTTGTTATTGATCAGAGATGCTTTAATGCATAATAAACAGAGTCAGGAAAAAACAAAAAGCCCAGGACTGTGGGTTTTTTTAGGTGAATTAAAACAAATCCTTGGCAGTGGCATTTGAAAAAATATTTTATACTAGCAATGTCCTGTATATGTTTAAATATCTGCACACATACACTAGTAGCAAATGACGATTTCTCTTACGATCAGGAAGTAAAACCTTAGTTACAAGTTTTTTTGGGGGTGTTTACCAAAGATAAGTTTTAAACATGTCACATAAGTGCCTCCCTGTGCCAGTTGCTCCATGAAAGTCGTAATGCTGTTGGCAATCGTGCTAGAGAGCACCTGAATTGCAAAAAGGGCAACGTAAGCCCATGGTAGTTCCACCGATGGGTCACAAAGCGTTTGTAGCGCTGAAGGTCAGAGAGGTTTGCACCATTTGCTTCAGGTTTGGGACAGATGGATGTAAGGTGTCCTCAGCAAAACTCCTCCAGTTTAGATGCTGAATATGGTACAAGAAGGAATAGAAGTGAAGAGGAGATTTGGAATGGGTGTGGGTGTAAAATTGGAACAGCCAACTGGACACGCAAGCAGTAGAGTTTCTTGCATCTGATGCTTAACACGTCACCGTGTCATACTCTGAGTCCATTCCTGGTACATCACTGTGTGTCCCCCTTGTCATTTCAAAAACACCAACTACATTTTTATCTATTTACAACAGGTGTCAGGTCTTAGAAATTTCTGCTACTTGGGAAAGAGTGTATGATTTATTTTACACAGAAATATGCTACGCACCACTATTTTAAATCAAACATTTCTAGAATCTCTAAGGTCTATGAAGTCCTATTACCAGTGAAATGTAGCTTTCCTTTTTCCCATCGTATGCCTGTACAGTAGAACAAAGATCTGTTTAAAGACAACTTTGCTGACCATCATCACTAAAGTCACCTCTTTTCTGTAAAATATAGTGCAAAAACCAGTGTTTCTGTAACATAAGAAGGGTATACTAATCTACTTGGAAGCTGATTCATTTTATGATGTCTTTCATCAATATAGTACTACTATTTTTGCTAATTTTTCAAGTATGTCAAGTTCCATGTCTAAAAGCACACTTTATTCCACTTCCACTAGTATCTTTCCATTGGCTAAACTATAATTAATAAAAATCAGCAGTTTTAATTGCTATGTTATCAAATACGATAACACCCTATTTGCATGTAAGCACTTCTAGGGATTTCCCCCTGTCGGAAGCAAAATGGACTGAAACATGACAGATTCCTTTTTTTTTTTTTTTTTAATTGGACTGTTTAGAGTTCAAAGGGAACTTTTACATTTATTTTGGTATTTGCCAAATTAAATAGCACTGTGAAATTCTGTAAGAGCCTTATGTAGGTCATGTCCCTGCTAACGCTTGGGCTTCAACCCTTGGCACGTGTGATCTGCGGGGCTGAAGAGCTGAAAGCTGGACTGGGCACAGCTGGGACTTTCCACTGAAATTGCAGGGGGTCAGGCATCCAAATGCCTTGAGTTTCAGGAGGAACTGGGCTCCTAAACTCCCTAAATTTGGTTTAAAATCTTCAGTCCATCTGCATTGGCCTGTGACCTTAATGTAAGGTAGCCACATCAACTTGTTACTCCTCCTGGTTTCCTTGCTTGCTGGGTGGAGAAATGGGTTGATCTCCTCAAGAACTGGGAAACAGGCCAGCCCAGAAGGAGTGTTTTCAACATGATCCATTACCTGGAGAAATATTTCAAAAAGTTAGGTGTTTGGTTTTTTTTTTAACAAACAAGTAGAAACATGTATCACCCTGTATAAAGGACTATAATTCTATTTTGACTGGGATATTGTGAATATTATCAGGAATGGTGAACTAACTCTGGATTTGTATAAACCAGCCTGTCCACTTGTACAGCAACTGTTTATTTAAATATATCTATTTAATTCTGTTACGTCTCTGTTTATACATCCAGGTTAGGTAAGGAAGGACTCTGTGAAAGTCCATGGAGTTAGTGGGAAGAATCCACCTAACTGTAATGGGCTGTGGGTGCAACCCCAGAAAAGAGTAAAGGACTATGTGAGTACCTAGAGGTAAAGGTACAAAGACATCAATATGCAAAAATGTCTCAGGTATAAATAAACCCTTTAAAGTTATTGAAAAAGGTCTTGTATTTCTTACCTAGAGGTAGTTCAATCTTGAAAGTTAAGTGAGGTTTATGTAGAAGTATATATAAAATCTCACCTATCTACACATACACGGGCAATTAACAAAATGTGATGGTTTTAAATATTTCCTTCCAAATGTTATATTGATACCTGGCAGCAGTATGTGACCTCAAGAGTGTTTTTTAAGGTAGCAGTGATTCTGTGGACTAATACTGAAAAGGGGATGATGATTAGGCTGCTGCTTGCAAAACGTTGATATCAATGTGTAAGATGAAATATTGTAACCTCCTCTCCAGTTGTCACTGATTTTACTATGTGCGGATATAAATCTACAAAGAATTGAGAGTTTTCTCAGTACCAGTCTCCTGAGCTTCATGTTTACATTATAATTATATCTTGTTGTTACAATCTGTTCAATAATTATAATACCTGGAAACTGTAATGCTGATTTTATTTAATCACATAAAACTTCTTAAGGTTTACAGCTTAAAGTAATCTAATGTTGTCGGGACCTAAGTGTTAAAGTTTCAAATGCTTTCCTCAAAAATGTCCTTTGAATTTTGTGTTACGTTGTAAAAGGTCTATTTGAAGCATATACTTTATGGTAGTTCCTTTAAAATGTAATTTGTGAGCTTTATACTCGACACATTACAAAGGTTTTTTTGCAATGGGTAAAAAGAAATGTGAAATTGTCCTCAGTCGAGATGTGGTATCGTCCGTTGTGTTGCACTGAGCCTGCAGATCTGTGAAACCATGGATCTGATTTATCACTTCAATTTCCTAGCTGTTTAATTTGGACTGACGTTAGAGAAGTTACTTCAACATAAATGCAGAGTTACACAGGTGTGTACCCAGCGGGATTTGTAAACTGCCCGGAGAAAGGAGAGCAGAGAGGGTTTGGCAGGTCAGCACGACTCCTAAAGCTCAGTTTTTGTTTGATACGTTTTTCTATTAAACTAAACAAATGGAAGGGTTTTCAGGACAAAGATGCAGATGAAAGAAGCAGCGTTTCACTTAATGTGCCATCTAAAGCTGTTGAAAAAATATTGTAATGCTAAAAATGTGTACTAATCACAAATTTGTAGGTCATTAGTCCACAGTGTTGACTAGTGCCTTTGGGTATTTGGGGAACGATCATTAAAATAACTTTCTTGTTTAATGTATGATTTGCTTGTAATACCTTCATTATTCTGGTTGGCCATCAGTTCCAGCGTGCAGACTTCTTCTAGCAGCCAAACTGGCCTGTTAGAGCTCCAAGAGTGCTAAATATTTGGGTTATGCTTTGGTAGGTTGAAAAAAGCACCAACTCCAGTTGACCACTGATCTGCTGTCAGACCTGCCCTGAAGGTCACAGAACATCTGGGCTCTCCTTAGTGTCTCTGATACATTGGAATGGCTCTGCGCTAGTCGTCCAACAGGCTTGTGTCAAATATTCACATTTTAAGTGCCTAGATATATATATATCTATATATTTATACAATAAAAACATGACTGTCTGCTGGGTAAATAAAATGAGTACTTAACTTGACAAATGATTTGACTTTGACATATGCCTAAAAATACATTTTACCTACATTTAATGCACATTCCCGTAGATCTAAACACATATTTCTCCAGGCTCTCCCAATTTCTGTTGAGTATGAACATGGCCAATGCCAGTGATGTTGGACCAAGGTCGGAGAAACTCCTACAAACCCTGAGTTTGCAGTGAGATGACACAGTCACATCCAGTTAAATTTCTGATTGCTGAGTTGGATTTTCTGGTTTTTGGGGATTTGGTTTTTTTTTTTGGTCTGGTGGGTTGTTTTTTTTGTTTCATGGGCTGGATTTTGGACTACTGCTTATTGATTCAGCCATATACTTTTAAAAAGACAAGACAATATTGTTTTTTCTTCCTGGGAGTGTCAATATTATAAGGGGTAATGGTTTCAGACTGAAAGAGGGGAGGTTTAGATGAGATCTCAGGAAGAAATTCTTTCCTGTGAGTGTGGTGAGAGCCTGGCCCAGGTTGCCCAGAGAAGCTGTGGCTGCCCCATCCCTGGAGGGGTTCAAGGCCAGGCTGGATGGGGCTTGGAGCAACCTGGTCTGGTGGGAGGTGTCCCTGCCCAGGGCAGGGGGTGGAACTGGATGATCTTTCAGGTTCCTTCCAACCCAAACCATGCTGTGATTCTATGAATACCCTGTTAGATACTCTGGAGCCTCCAGTGCTTTACAGAGGAGGGGAAGGAACATGCCAGAGGTTTTAGCCCCATGTGAGAGCTTGGAAATTCCTGACTTGAGTGTTTATTGCCTTTTAGCCTCTCGTGGTGGTGTCTGTGCAGTGAAGAGACATGCCAAGGTTCACATACGGCAAAGATGGTGGAAAAGGGGAGGAAAAGCAGCTGGGATTGCTGTGCCTCAGCCTTATTGCCCAAAATATGCCCTTTCACCTGTTTTTCACAGTGGAAGCCTTCCCCCTTTTTTTTGACCAGTAATAACCACTTAATCATAATTTCATTTCCTGACCATTTCTTTTCTTTTATACAGCCAGCCTTCCTCTTAATAAAACAGTAAGTGGGGAAATGGGAAGGCAGCCCACATAGGGGAGTTTCCTTTCCTCACCAGACACTTTCCTGAAGAATTTAAAATCTAAGGAAATACATGAAGGTAATGGAGGGCTGTTTTGTTTTTTAGTCCCTGCCACCCCCTGTTTTTTCTGCTCCATCAGTCTCCATCATTAAGTACTATTTCATAAGCAAGTGATTTTCTTCTTACCAGCTGCTTCCATATTCAGCTCCATTTCATCTTGTACCATTGCAGAACCTGTGTTTCTGAAATCACAATTAGTTACCATGGAAAGCAATTCAATACCGTAATAAATACACTCAAAGGCTGCTCACTCAGCTATGTATTACAAAATAAAAATTAAAAAAAAAGTCCTCCAGAGAACTGGATCCAGATTACGTACATATGTTTATGGGCGAGCATGTGCTTGTATGTACACAGGTTAATGTAATTTTTTATTATACTTTCCTTGCATGCTGGGTGCATGTGAACACAGACAGCACAGCTGAACCCCACCAAGGTGCAGCCCTACTCCTTTGCAAGCCCTGCCCTCCCATATCAGTCCCTTTTCCCCCATCCTATATATCATTTTCCTGCAAATACTCTCATCCTGTTGTTGATACGAATTTATTTCGCACTCGTTCTGTTTCGCTTTCTGGGACAGACAGGAACATGATGCTGCCCATATGCTCCTGTATTTCTGCGCACACACAACCGGCGGCGTTTCAGCATCCTCGGCAGCTTTGCCATCCCCTTTTCCCTGCAGAGAGGTGGTGTTGGGACCACGACAAGTCTGGGCTCAAGACGTTGATGCCACCCCATGCTGCTCTCACCATTCATGCCCACAATTTCTTCCTTGAGCCTTTTATCAGCTCCTGACATTTTCCAGACAATGGGCTGACATTGCAGCTGGTAGTTTTGCCTAAAGGATAAAAATGCACGTTGAAATACATCTCTTTTTACTGCATTGCCTGCTTATCCCTGGAAGATCCCAGGTAATGACATTTTCCAATCAAGGGTCTGGATTCATTATCTGCCTTGAACGGCCTATATACCCCATCAGGTCAGGAGAAAGAGCTGTGAACTTCTGTTAAAGTACAAACAACTTGTTACGCTTCTTTAGAAGTTGATTAAACTGTAAATTCCAGCCTAAACACTCAGTCATGTTTTCAATCAGCAGGCAGAAAGATGACCAGAAGAAAAAGCATCGTAGCTGTCGAATTTAATAGCGTGGGACAAGCACAGCTGGTCTAATACTAAACTCTAAATAATTTATTGCATCGATTAGTACTTTCATTAAATAATGTATTCAGTCAATGAATTTCTCAACTCTTGTTATAGGAAACAAGAGCATCAGAAATCTTTTCATCCCACATGCCAGCCAGGCACATGCTTCCTCTTGGAAATGCAGCAAAATGAGCACGTGAGTGATTTTTTTCCTGTGGACAGCTTCCTTCCCAAACCCTGCCTTGTTTAAAGCACAGACATCCCCCGGACAAGGACCATGAGAACACCAGGTCCACGATAAACTCCACATTTCTGAAACAAACCTGCAATTTAAAATGAAAACTACAGCTGGGAGGATACATGACAGCCACAGGTGAGTGCACAGCAAAGGTGCGAGGAGTCAGGGACCCACAAGGATTTCCCCGTGTTGTTGATCCCCAGGGGACATGTGTGACACCTGGTGGGGTGATGAAACCATGTTCTTCCCCATTTTGACAAATTGATGGTTTTCACTGGAGAATCTTCCCCTCCTTCTTGTCAGCTTTGGGTAGGGCTGGAAGCAAGAATCACAGAAGAACTTTGACAAACTTAGAAGAACTTAGGCGAACTAAGGATTGGGCTCTTGTTCTTGAGTTCCTGGTCACCAAACTCTTGATGTATTTACACATCACATATCTGTGGAAAGCCAAGGATCTCAGCATGGAGCTGCTCTGTTTGTCAGGGTGGGATTCAGAGATCTCGTCTTTGATGGTTTGAGAGGCAGAATGGAAACATGCTGTGTCCATCTCCTGCCTGTTGACCGTGAAGGACCCTCTGCCCCACTCCTGCCGGGGACAGCAGCTCTATGGAAACACTGCTGGACATCATTATTTATGGTGTTTTAGTCACCCTGGAAACAAAGTAGATGCTACCAGACATGACTTTTAACACAGCTAATTATATCATTAGTGTCAGTACCACTTAACGACTGGCATATACCTTCCCTGGTCCAGCGCTGGCAACGTTGCCATGGGAATGACCTGGCTCCACACCTCGGTGGGGACATGCACAAGATGCACCAGGACCCTGGTGAGGTGTCACAGCTTCCTGCTGCTCATCCTGGGGCAGGTTTGCTTGTTAATATAAGTTCTGTGTTCTCTGAAAAATACTATTTGGGGGACAAGAAGCCACTCATGAATTCAGTTGAAGTTTGTAAACACTGCCCTGAAACGTTTCACGCTGCCATCCCTACAGGTGGTGGTTCAGCCACCCGCTTCTGAACAGTGGTCCCATCTCAAAATCTACTGAAGCAAAAGAATTCATTAAAGGAAAAAAAAAACAACACCAAAACCAACCAAAACAGCCAAGAGCAAAGCAAGTCCTTCCCCTTTACACAGGACTTCCCAATCGGTTCCAGCAACACCGGTCAGCAGTTACAGATTTCGGAACAGCTCGGAGGAGATTCTGGTGGCCATCCAAACTGTTTGCCACCCAGCATCAACCTTTGGCTCCACAGGGGACATAACCACATCCAAGAGCCACGTCCAGCCAGCAGCAGCCCACAGGGCAGCTGAGGTCTACGGGCAACCAGAAAAACGCCACTTATTTTTTCCTCCTCAATTGTACATACCAGGGAGCAAATCATTGCTGATGGGGTCTCACTGAGTTTAACCACACACACATGAAGAAAGTTGGCTTTGGCTTCTCAGTGAGAAGCAAACAGCTCTGTAATGAGCTAATAAATGATCCTTGGAAGAAAAAAAGTACTAACTTATTAAATCCCTGTCCTGAAGGCTGCACACATCATCTCTGCAGACTTACCAAGCCATTTCGCCCCAGGAGCAGCCATTATGGATGGGCTGGTGGCTCTCAGGCTGTTCATCAGGAGCCAGCTATTCCATAGAGATGCTGTCACCATGGCCCAGCTGTGGCTGGCAGTGGTTTTGGGGTGATACATGCCTTTTGAGAGGCTGATTCCCCTGCAGAGCCATGGGTGGCAGATGAGGGTTTCTGAAATATGGGAAAAGAGAAGGTGAGTTGGGGTTTTGAAGCAGAAACCCGAAAACAGCACTTTTGTAGAATCAGAGAAATCAGTTAAAAAATAAAGACAATAACTTAACTGCTCCTGAAAACCATGTATGTCTGCTTTCCCTCGCCTGGGGAAGATGAATGGCTTCACTATCAGACAATAACTGATGCACCCGGCATGGCTGGGGGCTGCCACGGTGGGATAGCACGGATTTAGAGGAGGAATATGTAAACTAGGTGGGAAATTGATGTTATGGAGATGCGCCCAAAGCCCCAAGAATAAGTCAAAGTGCCCAGCAGATATTTTTCAGCAGAAGATAAACAGTGTATTTTTGGAGTGGGCAGTTAGGAATTGTTCTTCTGGGGATTAGGGGGTCAGCTCCATGGTCTAAATGCAATGGGATTTTTTTACTCTTTTGGTGATGCTTATATTTATTCCCCTGCCCATGGTCCCACACAGGACACCTCTAGACCCACCCATGCACATGCCTCTGACTCCCCTTTACAACCAGTGAAGTCCTCAAGACTTCTCTAACTGCTCCATGTGCAGCTGTTTCTTGGTCTAAAGCAGAAAAAAAAAATTGGCAACTGGTGATATGTCTTTTTGCCTTTGTAGATGAAAATGTCAAAAAGACTCAAGCCTGCAAATAAAATGAAGCAGGTGGCTCTTGACTGGAAAATTGTTATTGCAAGGTGTGGGCTTGAGGGCACTTGTTCCCACACCCATCCTGTCCCTTTCTGCCCCAGCCC